AAGACCAAGACCATGTAAAACACAGGTGAAATCACACCAACGTATTAGGCAAAGGCAAGGTGACCGCATCTCCGTTTATGAACCCATGCGCTCACTTCGTTCATCCGGAGAGACCCTGCTCACAATTCCGCCTGCGTCGCAGGCGTTGGTGGGGACGCGAGACAGGGCCTTTTCTGTGGTGGCCCCCCGACTCTGGAACACCCTCCCCAAAGATCTTAGACAGGCCCCTACATTGGCAGTCTTTAGAAAGAACTTGAAGACCTGGCTGTTCCGATGTGCCTTCCAGAATAGGAAAACTCCAATAACAAGTCCCAGAAGCACTTTATTAGAATTAAGATTGCTGCACACACACTGCACTTACCCTATAATCCTTACATATCACCTGTCACATCAGCACTTTTAATCTGTACCCATCACTCTGGGCCGGCCCAGTTTTACTGTGTCTTGGTGTATTGTTTATTGCTTGTTGTTTTGTTGTGGAATATTGCTTCAATTGTTTTTAATTTGCTTTAGGTGTTGTATTGTTGTGTTGTGTTTTGAGTCCTTGGCCTATGTAAGCTGCATCGAGTCCTTCGGGAGATGCTAGCGGGGTACAAATAAAGTTAATAATAATAATAATAATAATAATAATAATAATAAAGGTCAGTTCACATAAAAACAGCACATCACGAAAACCAAAACCGATCCCAATTAAAATGTATTTACTTATTTATTCCATGTATATGCCGTCTTTCTGACCCGGGGGGGGGGGGGGGGGGGGGTTGCACTCAAGGCGGTTGACAACACACTCATGGCAAAGATTGCATGCCAACATCCAGATAATAAAATAAAGTCCCAAGAAGTAAACACTGGCCCAGAAGGAGACATTAAAGTCATTAGGATAATTAAAGACAGGCCTAGGCAGCAGGCCAACCCTCAGGCAAAGCAAGCGAGGCAACAGATCACTCCTTGGCATTGAATGAATCCCACCACAATCCCACCCACAGCCCAATAAATAATAATAACAACAACAACAACAACAACAACAGTGCAATAATAACAATAATAACAGTATTATAATAATAACAACAACAACAACAGTGTAATAATAACAATAATAACAGTATAATAATAATAATAACAACAACAACAATAACAGTGTAATAATAACAATAATAACAGTATAATAATAATAATAACAACAACAACAATAACAGTGTAATAATAACAATAATAACAGTATTATAATAATAATAACAACAACAACAATAACAGTGTAATAATAACAATAATAACAGTATAATAATAATAATAATAACAACAATAACAGTGTAATAATAACAATAATAACAGTATAATAATAATAATAATAACAACAACAATGTAATAATAACAATAATAACAGTATAATAATAATAATAATAATAACAACAACAACAGTGTAATAATAACAATAATAACAGTATAATAATAATAATAACAACAACAACAGTGTAATAATAACAATAATAACAGTATAATAATAATAATAATAACAACAACAACAGTGTAATAATAACAATAATAACAGTATAATAATAATAATAATAACAACAACAATAACAGTGTAATAATAACAATAATAACAGTATAATAATAATAATAATAATAATAATAATAACAACAACAACAACAATAACAACAATAATACTATATTGCTGAAGGCTTTCATGGCTGGAATCACTAGGTTCTTGTGGGTTCTTTCGGGCTATAGGGCCATGTTCTAGAGGCATTTTCTCCTGACGTTTCACCTGCATCTATGGCAAGCATCTATGGCAGTGGTTCTCAACCTGGGGTCCCCAGATCTTTTTGGCCTACAACTCCCAGAAATCCCAGCCAGTTTACCAGCTGTTAGGGTTTCTGGGAGTTGTAGGCCAAAACACCTGGGGACCCCAGGTTGAGAACCACTGATCTATGGCAAGGATGCCTGCCATAGATGCAGGCGAAACGTCAGGAGGAAATGCCTCTAGAACATGGCCATGTAGCCCGAAAAAACCCACAAGAACCTAATAATAATAATAATAATAATAATAATAATAATAATAATAATAATATAATAATAATAACAGAGGAGTGGGCCCGCAACTGGATGATTGTGGGCAGACCCTCCCCTCTTCCTTGGGAGCAGCTGGTGTTTAATTGAGGAGGGGGCGACAAGTGGGCGAGATCACTTCCCTTCGGATGGGGGGGGGTGTCTCCTAATAGACCCGAAATAGCCCCCCCCCAATTCCCCTAATTTCTGCTTTGCTGAAACTCAGGCTCTCCGAGCGGTGCCCCCTCCCTCCCCTCCCCCCTCCCCCCCCCGCGAGGCCTGTGCCCCGCCCCCCAGGCACGAGGGAGGGGGGCCAGGGCGCTGATCCGCTCCTCCGCCGCAGACGCAGCAGCCGAGGAGAGAAGGAAGGAAGGAAGGAAGAGAAGAAGGAAGAGAAGAAAGAGGAGGAGAAGAAGGAGCCTTCCACCTCTTCCTCCCCCCGAAGCCCAGGTAAGAAGAGGGGGAGGGGCAAAGGATTCCCTAAAATGGGGGGGGGGCTTCCATCCTTCCCATTCTGACGCAGCAGCCGCCCCGAGAGAGGGGGAGAGGGAGAGACCCCCTTTTCCAGTGGGAGGGGGAGCCCTAGGAGCCAGAGCCCCCTTTGAAGGGAATAGCCTTTCCGTGCCCCCCCCCCCCATCTTTGTATTGGTCCCATTGCTGCTCCAGACCTGCAGCAGGGATTGAAGGGGGGGGGGGGGGGAGTTTCAAAGAGGGTCCTGGTTGCATTCCGGTGGAGGGGGGAGGCCTTTGGGGAAGGGTCTCCCCCCCCCCGCTGCCTGGCTCGGTCTGCCTTCTCATTTGGGGAGGGGGAGCCTTCCTTGGGCCTGGCTGTTTTTGTGGCGCCCCCACCCCACCCTGCTGTGTTTGCAAACAGAGCAGCTGCAGCGGTCAAAAGGGGGGGGGATTACCACCTTTGGGGGTCTATTAAAAGGCCGGAGGGAGGAAGGGAGGGAGGTGGAAACATCCCCCTCCCCAATATCCGGAGATGGGGGGCGCAGAGGGAGGAGAGGGTCCCGACCCCTCCACGCATGGAGTGAGATTGCAATCCGCCCCTCCCTGCGTGGCCCCCTCCCTCCTGGAGGCCTGGGCTTTCCTCGGGGAGGGATTCCCCCCTTGGCCCAGGAAAAGCGCCCCAAAAGGCCAAAGGGGGGGGGCTCCTAATGGCACAGAGAGACCCCCTCCCCCATTTAGGCCCAGGAGAGAGGGGAGCACTCTTCATCCCTCCGCCCCCCCAAGCAAGGGGGCATCTATATGCTTGGGGGGGAGGGCAGCTGCAAGATTGATAGGAAAGCAAGGGGAATTGGGGAGGGGGTTCTAGAGAGCTTTGCATGACATTTGGGGGGAAGAGGCAGCAAGATGACCCCCCAATTGGCACCTTTCTCTTGGGGGGGGTCCCAAGGAGCAGCATAGACACAGGATGCCCCCCACTTTGCCCCCCCCCAGGCCTTGGGGGGAACAGATGTGTCTCCATCTTCCTTCCTTCCTTCCTTCCTTCCTTCCTTCCTTCCTTCCTTCCTTCCTTCCTTCCTTCCTCGGGCAGAAGGGAAAATAGCTTGGCCAGAATGCCCTCTGACCAGCTCAAGACTCCAGATGCGGCCAAGCGCTTTGGGGGCCAAAGAGGAGGAGAAAGCAGCCCCCCCCCATGGAGGAAGGAAGAGGGCAGGCTGGACACCCAACCCTCCTTCCTTCCTTCCTTCCCTTCCTTCCTTCCTTCCTTCCTTCCTTCCTTCCTTCCTTCCTTCTGTGGGCCTGGTCCTTTCGGGCCCCTCACTTGCCCCCTGAGAATCAAAGAGTTGGAGAGGACCCCTAAAGGCCATCCAGTCCAACCCCTTCTGCCAAGCAAGAAAGGCACCATCAAAGCATCCCCTCCAGATGGCCACCCAGCCTCTGTTTCGAAGCCTCAGAGGAAGGAGCCTCGGCCAGACTCCACGGCTGAGCAGCTCTCCTTATGGTCAGGAAGCCCTTCCTTGCGTTCAGGTGGAATCTCCGTGGCTGTTGTCGGAAAACAGGCCCGCTCCCTCTTCCTTATATATCCTCAGCCCTCACTCACTCACACACATTCACTCACAATCCGCACATACTCCCCATTCCTTCTCCGGCCTACTGCTGGGCGGGCACAAGGCTCTTTCCCTCACACACCATCCTAGAAGGAGAGGCTTGGGAGAGACCCCCCCCCCCCCAAACAGGCCACCTAGTCCAACCCCATCCTTCTGCCATGCAGGGAAAGCACAATCAAAGCACCCCTGGCAGATGGCCATCAAGGGAAGGAGCTTCCACCAGACAGCGAGGAGGCAGAGGGTTCCACCTTGCAACAGGAGGCAGATGCAGATGCCCCTTTGCTGGGGGAGGGGGCAGAAGGCCCTTCACGCTTGTGTGCACACGTGCACACGCTCCCTCTTGCACACTCCCCACGGGGATCATCCCGATGGCTGAACCAGAGGAGGCCGAAGCCATGGCCGCCACTGCTCTCCCTCCATGCCAGTCAGGCTGGTTGTGGATTCAGGCGGTCAGGGGGAGGTTCTGGATGGCTTGGCAGGAGCCAAAGCACAGGCCTTGAGAAGAAGGAGGAGGGAGAAGGAGAAGAAGGAGGAGAAAGGAGAAGAGGCGGAGGAGAAGGAGAAGAAGGAGGAGGAGAGGAGAAGGAGGAGAAGGAGAAAAGGAGAAGAAGGGGAGGAGAAGGAGGAGGAGAGGAGAAGAGGAGAAGGAGGAGGGGAGGAGAACAAGGAGAAGGAGAAGAAGAGGAGAAGGAGAAAGAAGATGGAGGAGAGAGAAGAAGGAGAAGGAGAAGAACAAGGAGGAGAAGGAGAAGAAGAGGAGAAGGAGAAAGAAGGAGGAGGAGGAGAAAAGGAGAAGGAGGAGAAGGAGAAGAAGGAGGAGGAGGAGGAGAAGAAGGAGAATGAGGAGAAGGAGAAGGAGAAGGAGCAACCAGGAGGGCCCAGAATGCCCCAGGAGCTGGCCTTGAAGGGCTTGTCCTCAGCACCCTGGCCCTCTGTGCAGAACGCAGTGCCCAAGGCACTGAGGAGGAGAGCAGCCAGGAGGAAGGCCTCCCTTGGCAACTGCCAGCGAGAGGAAGAAAGCGGGCTCTCCTGCCCTTGCCCACCTGGGCACCTTGGTTGATTAGCCAAGCAGGGGCCTGTTGTTGTCCAGAGGAGAGGCTCTGCTGACCAGGGAGCATCTGGAGCGAGGGAGGGAGAGAGAGATGGAGGGAGAGATGGAGGGAGGGAGGGGGGGGGCCGGCTGCAAATATCTCAAGGGCCCTCATGCAGAAGAAGACAACGACAGGGCCGAGATGTTCTTCTCCGGAGGGCAAGGGCAGAGCCGCTGAGCGGAAAATGCCGGAACGGAGAGGGAGGAGGAGGAGGAGGAGGAGGAGGAGGGGGGGAGCTCCCTCCCAAGATGTGCACGCAGCTGCGCCCAGGCCTAAACCTCCATCTCCCCATGCGCCTTCCCATGCATCTCGTGGGGAGCGGATGGATGGGACCCCCTTCTATTCAGGCATGGAAGCCTCTCTTGGAACCCGCAAGAGTCCAGAACATCAGCTCCCAGAGTTCATTGAGAATCTTAGAACTGGAAGAGACCCCATGGGCCACCCAGTCCAACCCCATTCTGCCACGCAGGAAAAGCACCCTCAGAGCCCTCCCAACAGTCTGTTTCTAAGCCTCCAAGGAAGGAGCCTCCACCAGACTCCGAGGCAGAGAGTTCCACTGCTGAACAGCTCTCATCATCAGGAAGTTCTTCCTAATGTTCAGGAGGAATTCCCTTCCCTGTCATTTGAACCCGTGGCTCCATTGAGTCCCAGTTTCAAAACAAGGGTTGGCTTGAGGCACCTCCATCTTCTTGAGATGTTTCTCCCAGGTCCACCCTCTTCCTTTTGACACCCTTTCACCTATGGATACATGGCTCTCCCGTCTCCTTCTGTCCACCTCCTCTTCTGCAGGCGCTCCTCATAAGGATTCCTGGTCTCCAGGCCTTTGTTGTTGCAGTTGATGATGGCAAAGGTAAAGGTTGTCCCCTGACATTAAGTCCAGTCATATTTTCTTATAAGTAGCTTGAGTAACAGCCTACCACAATTCAACAACAATATATATACATGCTGCACTGTTAACCCCACAGCGACAACAAACAATGTGGTGCAAACTTTTAGTACAGTCGTGTCTTCTTATAAGTAGCTTGTGGGACAGCCGACCACGACCGGTTTCGGCCTACCTCAGGCCTTCCTCTGGTGGAAAAATTATGCACATGGAAGTATGTTCTCCACGGGAGATACTCGCAGCCAGAACTAAACTAAACTAAACTAAACTGTGGGGTTAACAGTGCAGCATGTATATATATTGTTGTTGAATTGTGGTAGGCTGTTACTCAAGCTACTTATAAGAAAATACAACTGTACCAAAAGTTTGCACCATACTGTTTGTTGTCGCTGTGAGGTTAACAGTGCAGCATGTTTATATACTGTTGTTGAATTATATCATTGTTTATGTTATACAAGTGGTATTTTTGTTATATACATTTCACTCAGGAACCCATCTATATCATTGTATATTAAGTCCAGTCGTGTCCGACTCTGGGACTCTGGCGCTCATCTCCATTTCGAAGCCGAAGGGCCAGCGTTGTCCATAGACACCTCCAAGGTCATGTGGCCAGCATGACCGCATGGAGCACCGTTACCTTCCCGCCGGAGCGGTACCTATTGATCTACTCACATTTGCATGTTTTCGAACTGCTAGGTTGGCAGAAGCTAGGGCTGACAGCGGAAGCTCACGCCGCTCCCTGGAATCGAACCTGCAACCTTTTGGTCAACAAGCTCAGCAGCTCAGTGCTTTAACCCACTGTGTCACCAGGGCCCCTGGTGATGATGATGATGATGATGATGATGATGGTGATGATGTTAATGGCCACCAAGTCCCAAGCTGGTCCCGCACATCCCTCTTGCAAAGTCAAGGCCGCAGCCCTGGCTCCCTTGATGGTGCTCATCCACCCGAACAGGGCCTTCGCATCTTCCTTCTGCCTTTTACCTTTCTGAGCATTGCTTTCTCTTGAGCGCTAGTTCTCAAACTCTGCTCTACAGCAGTGGTTCTTAACCCGTGGGCCGCAAGGACAAAAATCCAGTCCGTGAGCCTCCTTCCTCTTTAATTGATTTTATTCCCGCTCTTTTCATGCCACCTGCCACTCTTTCCCTGTTGCTGACCATGGCGTATGTTCTGTATCAGAAACCAGAGCTGATGTGGTCTATCCAATGCAATTTTCCGAAGCAGCACCCCAAACCAAATCTAACCGATTTATAACCCTTTTAGTATTAATGTTGGAGAGTGGTCCCTGGTCAAAGTGGTCCTCCCTGGTCAAAAAAAGGTTGGGAACTGCTGACTTAGAATCACAGAATGACAGAGTCCAAAGAGACCCCGTGGGCCACCCAGTCCAGTTCCCTGCCATGCAGGAAAGCACCATCAAAG